ATAACAAGATAATATAAATTAGCGTTTGCTGCTAGTTGCCGCGTCCAGCTATGGAGCTAATTTTACGTAGATTTCTGGACAATAATCGTCCGTGCCCCAGCAGTAGGACCACTAACGGAACCCTTCTACATCGTCGTGGAACTACTAAATAGGCCATCATCTAGCCGAAGAACTTTGTCAGAACGTCGTTTCTCGACGACTCTATATGTACCAGCAGTAGACCATAACTTGTCACCCCAAGAGTGCCGGGAGAATGAGAGGGATGTGTTTTGCAGAGTGCCACATCGGCTGGCTCTGAACGTGCAAGCAGACAGTCCGCTATGTCAAGCTGTCAGTCGGTTTTCTGCTAACATCTGACCTGTGTAATTGCTAATTTCCCGATTAAAAAAAAAACAGATTGCAGTACTGATTTCTGTGTGATAATTTAAGAAGGCCTATTTTGATTGACTTCCAGATTTCATTGTTAGTGTATTTTACGTAAGGAAAGACTGATTTTACTGGGCTTCGTAATTATTGGTTTGCCACTTGTGAATTATTATTATGTGAACAAATTATCTGCAGGAGGTTAACAGGGTATTACCTGAATTATTACCTGCAAGTAATTTGAGTGGTGTAAGTGGGACTTAAGTTACAGTAGTTCGCAGGGCTGTAACTCCCTCGATGCCCACTCCCTACCACTCTCACCAAAAGCTAGACCTGATATTAAATTAATAATTACAATATTAAAACCAGCTACTCTGGTAAATTAAAATTGTGGACTGTATATGATTAGGCTTGTTGGTACACAAAAGAAATTCGTATTACCACTTACCACTTAATTACTGTAGACGGATCACACCACAACACTTGCCTGACACCTAGACCCTACACTGGCCAGCTAGAGATCTAAAGGCAAGGACTAACGGCGCATTTCCCTGTGAGTGATGTTCGTATCCCTTATCTTCCGCCATCCACACGTATTTCTCGAGGTTCTGCAAATTTCCTGTCCCAATTCTTCAGCAGGGGACATTAACACGGGTTTCTATTACAAATTCAGGCCGAAACCCCCCAATTTGGCTTGGAAGACCCCGAATGATTAGCAGAATTTCCGCGACAACCAGTGCTCACAGATTACAAATGGCGTCCTCTATTTTTGTGTCCTTGTTGCCGAATTGTAAAGGCTATCTACACTAATTATCCCAATTCTTCAGCAGGAACATGCTAGAAATTTCTAAATTACGGACTGAGGCCGATATACAGGAATTGACCTTTGTAGATGAATGGTTCAGAGAACCGACATGTTGATAAATTAGACACAAGTGCAACTCTTGACCTTCGAGAACGCCTGATTACATTGCACAATTCAGACCAGTATTCACACATTAAATTCAGAATAGTGTCTCCCCCTGAGGCATCCCCCCCTCAGCTGTCCTGCCTCCCCCCTCACTCGAAATTTCACGAAGGGTCCAAATAGCATCACATTTTAATATGCAATTAATATATTATTCATTTACATGTTATATATTTAAGAAATGATGTAAAAAAAATTTCACTCCATTTTTACTAAAAAAAAGTTGGCTATTATATTTGCTCATTTAGAACGCTATATTCCTGGGTATAAACCTGATATTTTAAACCAAAATCATATCGCCTTTAATCTGCACGATATAATTTTTGACTCATTTTTCAGAAAGCAAATATATTTTTTTTTAAAAAACCTACAACATATTCAGAAAATTAAGAATAATTCAAACATTTAATAATAATTTATTTTCAGCGTTATGTATTAACATAATCCACGTCAAAAAAATGACTAATGTGTCATCAAGATCTATTTACTGGTTACCATGATATCCCAGCGAGATAAATCCTCCTGAAAAACCCCATCATCTTTCTACGTGTGTTATGCAGGACAAACTCTACGAACCAAGCTGGAGAACAGGAATAATGGTTCCAACAGTACGTAGGTTAAGACATATACAGTGTTCATTACATTACTGAAGATACGCATCGTCACGAGTGGGATCCTGAGACTCCAAATTCTCAGAACAACCACTGTGAAAAATAGTTCCTTGATAATGTGAGAATTCATGAAAGCGCTTGAAATTTCACTACTTTTTTGACAGTGGTCGTTTTACACACACACACACACACACACACACACACACACACACACACACACACGGGGCCAGGAGCTAAGACTCGACCCCTGCAACCACAAATAGGTGAGTACACACACACACACACACACACACACACACACACACACGTAACAGGATTAATGAAAAAGCCAGGATGAGCCCATGGTTTACCCAAAGGTGCAGGGAGGCAAAAACCAAGTGTGCTAGGGAATGGAAGAAATATAGAAGGCAAAGGACCCAGGAGAATAAGGAGAACAGTCGTAGAGCCAGAAACGAATATGCACAGATAAGAAGGGAGGCCCAAAGACAATATGAAAATGACATAGCAGCGAAAGCCAAATCTGACCCGAAACTGTTGTACAGCCACATCAGGAGGAAAACAACAGTCAAGGACCAGGTAATCAGGCTAAGGAAGGAAGGAGGAGAGACAACAAGAAATGACCGTGAAGTATGTGAAGAACTCAACAAGAGATTCAAAGAAGTGTTCACAGAGGAGACAGAAGGGACTCCAGAAAGACGGACAGGTGGGGCACACCACCAAGTGCTGGACACAGTGCACACAACCGAGGAAGAAGTGAAGAGGCTTCTGAGTGAGCTAGATACCTCAAAGGCAATGGGGCCAGATAACATCTCCCCATGGGTATTGAGAGAGGGAGCAGAGGCGCTATGTGTACCCCTAACAACAATATTCAATACATCTATCGAAACAGGGAGATTGCCTGAGGCATGGAAGACAGCAAATGTAGTCCCAATCTTTAAAAAAGGAGACAGACATGAAGCATTAAACTACAGACCAGTGTCACTGACATGTATAGTATGCAAAATCATGGAGAAGATTATCAGGAGAAGAGTGGTGGAACACCTACAAAGGAATGATCTCATCAACAGCAGCCAACATGGTTCAGGGACGGGAAATCCTGTGTCACAAACCTACTGGAGTTCTATGACATGGTGACAGCAGTAAGACAAGAGAGAGAGGGGTGGGTGGATTGCATTTTCTTGGACTGCAAGAAGGCGTTTGACACAGTTCCACACAAGAGATTGGTGCAAAACTGGAGGACCAAGCAGGGATAACAGGGAAGGCACTACAATGGATCAGGGAATACTTGTCAGGAAGACAGCAGCGAGTCATGGTACGTGGCGAGGTGTCAGAGTGGGCACCTGTGACCAGCGGGGTCCCGCAGGGGTCAGTCCTAGGACCAGTGCTGTTTCTGGTATTTGTGAACGACATGACGGAAGGAATAGACTCTGAGGTGTCCCTGTTTGCAGATGACGTGAAGTTGATGAGAAGAATTCACTCGATCGAAGACCAGGCAGAACTACAAAGGGATCTGGACAGGCTGCAGACCTGGTCCAGCAATTGGCTCCTGGAGTTCAATCCCACCAAGTGCAAAGTCATGAAGATTGGGGAAGGGCAAAGAAGCCGCAGACGGAGTACAGTCTAGGGGTCAGAGACTACAAACCTCACTCAAGGAAAAAGATCTTGGGTGAGTATAACACCAGGCACATCTCCTGAAGCGCACATCAACCAAATAACTGCTGCAGCATATGGGCGCCTAGCAAACCTCAGAACAGCATTCCGACATCTTAATAAGGAATCATTCAGGACCCTGTACACCGTGTACGTTAGGCCCATATTGGAGTATGCGGCACCAGTTTGGAACCCACACCTAGCCAAGCACGTGAAGAAACTAGAGAAAGTGCAAAGGTTTGCAACAAGACTTGTCCCAGAGCTAAGAGGTATGTCCTACGAGGAGAGGTTAAGGGAAATCAACCTGACGACACTGGAGGACAGGAGAGATAGGGGGGACATGATAACGACATACAAAATACTGAGAGGAATTGACAAGGTGGACAAAGACAGGATGTTCCAGAGATTGGACACAGTAACAAGGGGACACAGTTGGAAGCTGAAGACACAGATGAATCACAGGGATGTTAGGAAGTATTTCTTCAGCCACAGAGTAGTCAGTAAGTGGAATAGTTTGGGAAGCGATGTAGTGGAGGCAGGATCCATACATAGCTTTAAGCAGAGGTATGATAAAGCTCACGGCTCAGGGAGAGTGACCTAGTAGCGATCAGTGAAGAGGCGGGGCCAGGAGCTCGGACTCGACCCCCGCAACCTCAACTAGGTGAGTACACACACACACACACACACACACACACACACACACACACACATATATATATATATATATATATATATATATATATATATATATATATATATATATATATATATATATATATATATGTTGTGCCGAATAGGTAAAACTGGTCAGTTAACAAGAACTCATTTAAAACCAAGTCCTTTCTAAAATTTTCTGTTGTACGTTTAAAGATATATTTTTTTTATTTATGTTAATGTAAACTTTAATAATTTTGTATAAAATTTTTTTTAGAAAACTTACCTAACCTTATTATAACAAGCGGAATTTAATTTAATCTAATCCAACTAAATATATTTTAGATAAGTGTACAACTTAATATTAATAAACACAATGAAATATATTTTTTTCGTTGAAATATAATTTTTGCGAAATTATTGCATACACAAATTTTCGCAATAATTTGCATACACAATAATTTGCATACACAATAATTTGCATACACAAATTATTCGGCGAGAAGAGCGTTGCTATTTAAACCAAAATCGCAAGTTTTTCCTATTCTGCACGACATATATACATGTATATATACGTACATAAAAAAATATTCACTTTGTTTCATATTTGTGGTTGAGGTCGTAATCAATGACTCACATAATTTACATACAAGCGTTTATTATCAGAATACAGAACATTAAATAATATAAAATATAAATAATTAAACTTCAAGTGTAGAACTTTTAACACGACAACCAATTTTTCTCTTATAATTCAAGAGATAATATTGATGGAGGTCAATAATTAAGATCTCATATAGTCGGTGTGATAATAATGTCCTTGATGACCACGGGCTCAGTCAGTTACATATTTGTAGTTACAATCCCAGGCAGCTGCCGTTAAGACGGAAATCCAGAGAACGAGAAAATTCAAGGCATTGTGGAAATTTAATGCATTAAAAGATAAAATATGTAATTCGTTACCTAACTGAAGCACTGCAGATAAAGAACAGTGTTAAAACATGGTGATCGAAATGTTATGAAATGGCTAATACTGAGAAAGTAATTCCCTTGATCTTCATGTTCATTTCGTAAACACCAAAGCCTACACTATAAAATTTCGGCTATATCCTTAATTAAGCACATGATGTGAAAAAGACATCTAAGGTGCACCATAAACTGGCGAAGGTGCAGCAGCAGCAGCAGCTGCTGCAGCTTCATCCTCCAGTCGAGCTGCCTCGATCTGGGCTACAGCGTGAGGAGGCAGCGGTGGGGCCTGTGGTAACAGGTCAGACTGTACTTTGAAGCCTTCACCGTCAGCAACGAAGGAGAACTGACCAGGAGTGCCATCAGGGAAGGTAAACCTGTACGTGAGGAAAGATGAAAGAATTTATCATTTGACGATGAATTAGCTAGAGACATGTGCAACACTTGGGTGACTAAGATTATTATGGAAACGTTTGCCATCCAGTGACTTCATCGGTCCAATATATATATATATATATATATATATATATATATGGGCTAATGAGAGCATAGGCAATAGGATCGAAGAGGTATGGGGTAGGTTTAGAAATGTAGTGTTAGAGTGTTCAGCAGAAGTTTGTGGTTACAGGAAAGTGGGTGCGGGAGGGAAGAGGAGCGATTGGTGGAATGATGATGTGAAGAGAGTAGTAAGGGAGAAAAAGTTAGCATATGAGAAGTTTTTACAAAGTAGAAGTGATGCAAGGAGGGAAGAGTATATGGAGAAAAAGACAGAGGTTAAGAGAGTGGTGAAGCAATGTAAAAAGAGAGCAAATGAGAGAGTGGGTGAGATGTTATCAACAAATTTTATTGAAAATAAGAAAAAGTTTTGGAGTGAGATTAACAAGTTAAGAAAGCCTAGAGAACAAATGGATTTGTCAGTTAAAAATAGGAGAGGAGAGTTATTAAATGGAGAGTTAGAGGTATTGGGAAGATGGAGGGAATATTTTGAGGAATTGTTAAATGTTGATGAAGATAGGGAAGCTCTGATTTCGTGTATAGGGCAAGGAGGAACAACATCTTGTAGGAGTGAGGAAGAGCCAGTTGTGAGTGTGGGGGAAGTTCGTGAGGCAGTAGGTAAAATGAAAGGGGGTAAGGCAGCCGGGATTGATGGGATAAAGATAGAAATGTTAAAAGCAGGTTGGGATATAGTTTTGGAGTGGTTGGTGCAATTATTTAATAAATGTATGGAAGAGGGTAAGGTACCTAGGGATTGGCAGAGAGCATGCATAGTTCCTTTGTATAAAGGCAAAGGGGATAAAAGAGAGGGCAAAAATTATAGGGGGATAAGTTTGTTGAGTATACCTGGCAAAGTGTATGGTAGAGTTATTATTGAAAGAATTAAGAGTAAGACGGAGAATAGGATAGCAGATGAACAAGGAGGCTTTAGGAAAGGTAGGGGGTGTGTGGACCAGGTGTTTGCAGTGAAACATATAAGTGAACAGTATTTAGATAAGGCTAAAGAGGTCTTTGTGGCATTTATGGATTTGGAAAAGGCGTATGACAGGGTGGATAGGGGGGCAATGTGGCAGATGTTGCAGTGTATGGTGTAGGAGGTAGGTTACTGAAAGCAGTGAAGAGTTTTTACGAGGATAGTGAGGCTCAAGTTAGAGTATGTAGGAAAGAGGGAAATTATTTCCCAGTAAAAGTAGGCCTTAGACAAGGATGTGTGATGCCACCGTGGTTGTTTAATATATTTATAGATGGGGTTGTAAGAGAAGTAAATGCGAGGGTCTTGGCAAGAGGCGTGAGTTAAAAGATAAAGAATTACACATAAAGTGGAAGTTGTCACAGTTGCTCTTTGCTGATGACACTGTGCTCTTGGGAGATTCTGAAGAGAAGTTGCAGAGGTTGGTGGATGAATTTGGTAGGGTGTGCAAAAGAAGAAAATTGAAAGTGAATACAGGAAAGAGTAAGGTTATGAGGATAACAAAAAGATTAGGTGATGAAAGATTGGATATCAGATTGGAGGGAGAGAGTATGGAGGAGGTGAATGTATTCAGATATTTGGGAGTGGACGTGTCAGCGGATGGGTCTATGAAAGATGAGGTGAATCATAGAATTGATGAGGGGAAAAGAGTGAATGGTGCACTTAGGAGTCTCTGGAGACAAAGAACTTTGTCCTTGGAGGCAAAGAGGGGAATGTATGAGAGTATAGTTTTACCAACGCTCTTATATGGGTGTGAAGCATGGGTGATGAATGTTGCAGCGAGGAGAAGGCTGGAGGCAGTGGAGATGTCATGTCTGAGAGCAATGTGTGGTGTGAATATAATGCAGAGAATTCGTAGTTTGGAAGTTAGGAGGAGGTGCGGGATTATTAAAACTGTTGTCCAGAGGGCTGAGGAAGGGTTGTTGAGGTGGTTCGGACATGTGGAGAGAATGGAGCGAAACAGAATAACTTCAAGAGTGTATCAGTCTGTAGTGGAAGGAAGGCGGGGTAGGGGTCGGCCTAGGAAAGGTTGGAGGGAGGGGGTAAAGGAGGTTTTGTGTGCGAGGGGCTTGGACTTCCAGCAGGCATGCGTGAGCGTGTTTGATAGGAGTGAATGGAGACAAATGGTTTTTAATACTTGACGTGCTGTTGGAGTGTGAGCAAAGTAACATTTATGAAGGGGTTCAGGGAAACCGGCAGGCCGGACTTGAGTCCTGGAGATGGGAAGTACAGTGCCTGCACTCTGAAGGAGGGGTGTTAATGTTGCAGTTTAAAAACTGTAGTGTAAAGCACCCTTCTGGCAAGACAGTGATGGAGTGAATGATGGTGAAAGTTTTTCTTTTTCTGGCCACCCTGCCTTGGTGGGAATCGGCCAGTGTTATAAAAATAAATATATATATATATATATATATATATATATATATATATATATATATATATATATATATATATATATATATATATATATGTATACATACATATATATATATATATATATATATATATATATATATATATATATATATATATATATATATATATATATATATATATATATATTAACAAGTCGGTCGTCTCCCACCGAGGCAGGGTGACCCAAAAAGAAAGAAAATCCCCAAAAAGAAAATACTTTCATCATCATTCAACACTTTCACCACACTCACACATAATCACTGTTTTTGCAGAGGTGCTCAGAACACAACAGTTTACAAGTACATACGTATAAAGATACACAACATATCCCTCCAAACTCTTAATATCCCGAAATCCTCCTTTAGAGTGCAGCCATTGTACTTCCCATTTCCAGGACTCAAGTCCGGCCATGTAAAAATAACCGGTTTCCCTGAATCCCTTCACTTAATATTAACCTTCTCACACTCCAACAGATCGTCAGCACGCCTGCTGGAAGTCCAAGCAACTCGCCCACAAAACCTTTCTTACCCCTTCCTTCCAACCTTTTCGAGGAAGACCACTTCTTGCATATGGCTATGTTCCTCTTAAAACAATAATAATTTTCATTTTTTAAATGTAATGTTATTTTAGTTAGAATATATTGCATTATAATTAGTATTACCGTCTGTGCCGTTCGTTCAGAAAATTTCCCGTGGATGGTTGAGTCTGGCAAGCAGGGAAAAACCTGTCAAGGATAACCTTTTTCTAACAAAAAATATAATTTATTGATCGTGTGTTTCCTTCACAAACAGTAGGTAAGACTGAGGCTGGGGTCTCAGAAGACTTATAAGTTGAGAGCTTGACTGCTAGAGTGAGAGGTTGAGGTAGTAATACTTACGACCATTCTCCTTGAGTTGCCACTGCGCCAGACTCGCCCTGGGGAGCTCCTTGTTCCTTACGAATGGTACCGTCACCACTCTCGAAGTTGAAGCTGTATTTACCCTCTGCGTCAGGACCCTCACGCAGGTCACTTATGATCTCGACTGGGGGTTTTGCTGGAGGTCCTGCTGGTGCTCCATATACTGGACTTGGTGGTGGGGGTGGGGGTGGGGGAGGTGGTGGTGGGCCGTATGTAGGTGGGGGTGGTGGAGGTGGTGGGGGTGGTGGGGGTGGAGGTGGTGGGGGTGGTGGGGGTGGAGGTGGTGGTGGTGGTGGGCCGTATGTAGGAGGTGGTGGTGGTGGAGGGGGTGGTGGTGGAGGTGGTGGAGGGGGGGTGGAGGTGGTGGGGGTGGAGGTGGTGGGCCGTATGTTGGAGGAGGTGGTGGTGGAGGGGGTGGTGGTGGAGGGGGTGGTGGTGGTGGTTTAACGGAATACTGGGGAGCGGCACACACCGCCGTCAGCCCCAGCAACAACAACGTCAACTGCAACACAAATAAAATATTCGTTTCTCGTTAAGAGGTAAAATTCCTCTCCATTAAATGTAACAATCTCTTTAACTTTTAAAACCTAACAGCTAAAAACTCCCCCAACACCTCTAACCCAACCAGATACTTGAATCAATTGTCTGATAGACTTAAGTGATGGATTTATCACCCTGAGCGTCGCGAGGATCCAATTATGGCTTCACAGATGCTAATATTTAATTACAATGTTGAATTTATTTAATCATGATGGAAAAACTAGCATAAGGTAAAAATAATAATAATATAGTTCATAAATATATATTAATTAGAATCCGTAAATTATTTTTTTTGTTTAATATTCCATGATGGATATTTCGACGTTGTAGAGAGTAACAGAGTTTTTTAAATTTAATATTTTAATTCATGCGAGGCTTCCAAAACATTCAACTAAGTGTCATTTTGGCATAAAACCCTGTGTGTCAAAGGCAAAGAAAGAAAAATCAACAATATTTCCGTCTTAATCAGCAAATAAGGTTAATGATTACCTCGAATAAGCTTGCAATAACGTACCCACCCGGGCATAATCTGTGATAATCAATTTTGTGAGGTGAACGTGCACTCACCTCCACAACTACATGTTTACTTCTGTTACTAAGAACTTCTGAGAACGTGTAAAAGTTGTGGTAAATGACACACAAGAAAACACTTAAGATATTTATGAAGGAAGCGTTTCGGTACTAGGACCTTGTTCACTACAGTGTTTGATATGTCAAGAGTGAACTGGGTCCCAGGACAGAAATTTTCCATAATATCCTGTGTTACACAAGTGTTTTTACCACAGCTTAATTGTATTGTACACCGGGCTTATACAAATTTAAACAATAATCAAATGTCTCTCTAAATAAGTGAATAACGTGTATTAACAATGTGTGTAATGGAAATAACATTATACGACGTTTATGTAGTGGAAATAACAGAACTGTCTGATGTATGTTTGTTTGTATGGTGGAAGAATTGGAACTCTGACGTATGAGTGGTAAAGAATCCATAACGAACAATTTAAAGACGTAGCTATCGCTCGTACAAGAGAAAGCGTAGTGTAATATTCTGACAGCTGGTTCCTGTTCCCTGTCTGCCTGTTGGATAATGAAGGTGACACTACAAAACTCACCCCTCTCATTCTCCTGGCACTCCTGGAGTGTAATGTTACTCTCTTTATTTCACAGCTCTTATATACCCCGAGTTGCCTGCGAGAGTGTGAGCCTGACCTGGTAAATGCACGTGGTCTGAATGCAACTGTCCTATGCTTGCTAAGTGGGTGTGTTCTCATCTAGTGCTCTTCATCTAGTTTATTTCCAATATTTTGGAGCACCAGACCCCTGAGTCTGCTTCTTTGACGTCGAGTTCACTCTCGTACTCTGGACTGATTATATTTCGTTTTGAAATCACGAATTGTTTCTTTTCCTGCAGTCTTTGTAGCCTGTTCTATGTGTTGTCTGTCTTTGTACTGTTAAAATTTGTTCTAAAGTTTCTAATCTATAGCTTGTCTTTTATAATAATAATAATAATAATAATAATAATAATAATAATAATAATAATAATAATAATAATAATTTAGGTTAGGTAAGGTTCGTCTGGAAACAGGACAAATATTTCCTGACGCGGGTCTTAGTCAGATGATGGCCCGCCTTTGGAGCTTTTGGTCATCTGACCGAGGCCTTCCGCTGGCTTACCGGTCCACCCCTTTAAAAATTATGGTCATTTATAACCATTATTTGTAGTAATAAAATAACAGTAAAAAATAGCAATGATAAATGTAATAATAATAATTATAATAATCAGATAAAATGCATTTGACATAGTGGATTCTTACATGGACAAGCACATTTATGCGAGGCTTTTGTGCATGTAGTAAGAGAATCGTTTGTGTTTACCAGATCTACAGTTCTGATTTTTTTTGCGTCGTCGAATTTTTATAACTGGTTATAACTATAACCATAATTTTTAAAGGGGTGAACCGATAAGCCAGCGGAAGGCGTCGGTCAAATGAACAAAAGCTTCAACGGCTTCAGGAAACACTTGTAACCTTACGTCGTCAGGTCTGGTTCAACCAGTCTGTAGTCGTGACTTTTGCTCCACAGGTCCATAGCTGTGATTCTTAAGCTGCTCTTAATGCTCTAAATGTTTTATTTGCTAAAATGAGGCTTCATGTGATATATTTCGAAAGTGGTTTGAAATATGTTGTGTAATGGGTAGTACTGATGATTTCTTTGTTTAGGTTCCTGAGTCCCTTTTATATATTTAGCGTGTTGACAATGTTATTAAGTGATGTGATGGGTTAAGGTGTTATTTGCGATGTTGACGCCTGGGTCTTCATTGTTTTTTTCCTCCAAGTCTTGGTGTGTGTCTAAACTTTGCCAGTTATACTTACCGAGTTGGCTACTCCTTGTGGGTCCTTACCTGTGAGTTTTTCTGCTCTCTCGGGCCCTGTCATACCTACTCCTCAGAACATGAAAGTAGTTTGTTATCGCCATCTTATCATTCAGTTCATTCCACTTGTTTATTAACAATAGAGTAAATAGGAATGTCCATCCGTCCGTTTCACTCAACCGTTTTTCTTTATAGTTTCTGTTTCTACCCTCTTATCTCATGTCTCTCATGTCATACATTTTTCCTATCCATTCTATTAAATTCTCTGAGAATTTTGGATTGTGTTATCATGTCTTTGCTGGTTCTTTTCTCGTCAAATGATTGTTAGGTTCAAATCTCTCAGTTCCTGGATCAGTCAAGCTGCAACCAGCCTGCGTCTGGGCTGAGTGAATTAGTATCGACCAGTGAAGAGGCGGGGCTAGGAGATATGAATCGACCCCTGCAACCACATATAGGTGAGTACATATAGGTGAGTACACAAAGATTATCAGGAGGAGAGTGATGGAGCCCCTGGAGTGGAACAAGGTTATAAACGACAGCCAGCACGGATTCATGGATCCAAGTCCTGTGTCACAAACCTACTAGAGTTTTATGACAAGGTAGCTGAAGTAAGAAAGGAGAGGGAGGGGTGGGTTGATTACATTTTCTTGGACTGCAGGAAGGCCTTCGACACAGTTCCTCACAAGAGGTAAGTACAGAAGCTAGAGGAACAGGCACGTATAACAGGAAGGGCCCTGCAATGGATCAGAGAATACCTAACAGGGAGGCAACAGCGAGTCATGCACCGTGATGAGGTATCACAGTGGGCGCCGGTGACGAGCGGGGTCCTACAGGGTTAGTCCTGGGACCAGTGCTGTTCTTTGTATATGTGAACGACATGACGAAAGGGATAGATTCAGAAGTGTCACTGTTTGCAGATGATGTGAAGTTAATGAGGAGAATTAAATTAGATGCGGATCAGACAGGTCTACAAAGATCCTGGAAAGGCTGGACGCGTGGACCAACAACTAGCTCCTAGAATTTAACCCCGCCAAATGCAAAGTCATGAAGATCGGAGAAGGGCAAAGAAGACGCGGACAGAGTATAGGCTAGGCGGCCAAAGACTGCTAACCTCACACAAGGAGAAAGATCTAGGGGTGAGTATGATACCGAGTACGTCGTCAGAAGCACACATTAACCAGATAACTAGTTGCTACAGCATATTGGCGCCTGGCAAACCTGAGAATAGCGTTCCGGTACCTCAGTATGGAATCGTTCAAGACTTTATACACTGTGTACGTCAGGCCCATACTGGAGTACGCAGCAGCAGTTTGGAACCCACACCTGGTCAAGCACATCAAGAAATTAGAGAAAGTGCAAAGGTTTGCAACAAGGCTAGTTCCAGAGCTAAGGGAAATATCCTACGATGAGAGGTTAAGGGAAATCGGCCTGACGACGCTGGAGGACAGGAGGGTCAGGGGAGACATGATAACGACATACAAAATACTGCATGGAATAAACAAGGTGGACAGAGACAGGATGTTCCAGAGATGGGATACAGAAAAAAAGGGGTCACAATTGGAAGCTGAAGACTCAGATGAGGGATGTTAGGAAGTATTTCGTCAGCCACCGAGTTGTTAGGAAGTGGAATAGTCTGGCAAGCGATGTAGTGGAGACGTTTTAAGTTTTAAGACGAGGTATGATAAAGCTCATGGAGCAGGGAGAGGGAGGACCCAGTAGCGGTCAGTGAAGAGGCGGAGCCAGGAGCTGAGTATCGACCCCTGCAACCACAATTAGGTGAGTACAATTAGGTGAGTACACACACACAGCCAGGAGCTGAGTCTCGACCCCTGCAACTGCAATTATGCCTGAACTTGGCTTATACACACGCACACTGATGTTGTAGTAGCCAGGCTTAGGCTTGGCTACAAGTATATCTGTCTGCTTGGCAGACACACAGATAATAATCAAACCAAATGCAAAGTATGTGGCCAGCCCTATGGTCACTATCTTCAACACTTATGTTCTTAATTGTCCACTTATTGAGGAATATAAAGATAGACTGTATAATAACCTATGTGACATGCCAAGATATCTTATTAATGAAAATAAGGTATCAGATATATTATTCAAATGTCCTAACAGTAGATATAAATTCAAAAACACTCCTGTTAACCCTTTTTGGACTTAGCTCCTAGGCATTTTGTGTATCCAAATTCTCTTGCGCCGTCATCCACAGACCCAGTAAATAC